GCAGGCTGAGGCTGAGGCTGAGGCAGGCTGAGGTTGAGGCTGTGACTGCGACTGCCGTTGCCGCTGCGACTGTCATCGCGAATGCGACTACGACTGCGAGAACAGCAGAATTCTACAACTGGATTTTCATCTGAATCTTAAGGGGAATGCTTTCAGATATGCTTCTACACATCGCTGTTAGGTTGCTTTGCCGGGATAATTATGTTTATGCCGCTTTTTGTTCCCCTAATCCTTGCTTCTCACCGTCACCCACGACCGTGCGAGAATCCCCACGGCCGACGACTTTGTGAACGCGGTCCCGCGGGAACCTGATGGCATGGATTTGGGACGCGCCGGCGGCCAACGGGACTTGGACACCCGACACCAACGGAGTGTGGACTACTTCCGGGAAACACATGTTCACAGGGTCAGGCCATACCACCCTTCGCGCGAAGTGGCAGGTGCAAAACCACGACGGCACGCGAAACATCAACAACTGCACGCCCATCAGCGAACGGATCGCCTACATCGACCTTGACGTCTGCTGCCCTTTCCCCCGCGTGCCAACACGGGGCACGCCCAGTCAAAACGCGAGGGGGCACCGCATGGCAATGCTAAGGATACAGTCGTCGGCCTGACCTAAGGAACGATAAATAAGGAACGCAGTCCCTTTTTTATCCCAAGGAATAACGCATAAGGATCGATCAAAAACAAATAACGCATAAGGAACTGTAAATAACGCATGCAAGCCTAAGGAACGACCGAGCCCCTTTTGAAAAGTTAAGTGTTCCTTATTCAAGCCGCTCACTGTATGAGAGCGACGTCGGAAACGTCGAACTGGATCTTGTAGTTCGACAGAGCGGTGAAGGTGGTGCAAAAGCGGAAGCACAATCATTCCAACCAGCCCTCGGGGGGTGAGTGGTTTAGAGAGCCCCCTCTGTCCAACCCCCTCCGTCCCCTTCGGGGAGGGGTTAACCCCTCTGCCCCTCCCCCCTCCCCCTGGGCCTGGGGGGGGGGGGGGGGCGCGGGTGGTTGGAGCGCCTGCTTTGGCCTGAAATCAAAAGAACTCAAGATGACCTCCAAAATCGCTCAAGATAGCCCTCGATGACTCAAGGTAGCTCCCAACAAGCCTACACGAGGCTCCAAGACCGCCCCAAGACGGCCCCAAGTGGTCACGGAGCCTCCCAGGGACGCCCCCGAGAGGCCAACATCCTTAAAAAACCCCAGGAAAATCAGCCGACCCCTTGTGGGTCTCCAGGCGTGTGAGATTGTTCCCCCCCATAACCCCCCCCAGGGACCCCAAACCTCGATTTTGACCCCCCCCCCCCAAAGCTCCGCACGACCCCCGGTTGAACGCGTCACGGGGGAACGGAAAGCCTCACCACGGGCCGGGAGGGCCCCAAGGGGCGCGCAAGACGGCCCATGAGGGCCCCGAGTCGCCGAAAGATCGAGCCGAGACGCCCAAGATGGCATCCAGACGGCCCAGGATGCCTCCAAGACGCTCCCAGAGGCCTGCAACGGGCCCCCAAGATGGGCCCTAAGAAACACAAATCTCCCCATTCCCTCGGGAAAACGTATGACTTTACCACATTCGCCTTTTGGGCTTTCGCTACGACCACGATGGCCCAAGAGGCTTCCAAGATCGCCCCAAAACAGCACAGGCGGCCCCCAAGAGGGCTCCAAGACGGCCCAATGGGACCCCAAGACGGCCCAATAGACCCCCAAGACGCCCCAGAAGAGCCTCAAAACTGCGTTCAGATGGGGCACAGAGGGGGAACCCGAACGGACATTTCGAGCCTTCGGCCCCAAGACGCTCCCAGGTTGCCCAAAGAAGCCCCCAGAGAACCCCGAGTGGGCTCCCAAAAGCCCCCACGAGGCCTCCATGAGGCCCCCAAGAGGTCCAAAAACTGCTTCCAGGACGCTCCCGAGGAGCCTCCCGCGAGACCCATCAAACATCCGATTGGCCTCAGCCCCACAACCCAGGCACGGGGGCGGGGCGCCAAGGATGAGGAATGATGCGGATCCAGAACAGTGGCCCTCGCTCGGAAGAGAGCGCGGCAGGAACGAACGACACTGGTGCAGACCAGCGTAAAGGCCCAGCTCAGACTAGGTGGATCACCCTGTAGCCTCTGTCCCGTCGCGTGTTTGGACACATGCAATGCAACCCGCATCCGCCAACCCCTTCGGGGTCTCCAGACGTGTAAGAGTCGCCCCCTGAACGGCCCCAAATAACCCCAGAACAGCTCGGGGGTGGCCCCGAAGAGCCCCGAGCACGCCCCCCAACGAAACAAGACGACACAAGTACGCCCCAGGACAACAATAGGAGGTCCCCAAGTCGGTAAAGTGGTCAGCGGATGTGGCGTACGCCTATAGAAACAATGGTGTTTGCCTGCTCGCCTTTTCCCCTGTTCGCTTTCGATGGACTCTTGAGGCTTCAAGATGGCCCCAAGATGGCCCAAGAGAGCCCCTAAGACAGGCCCCAGAGAGGCCCCAGACGGGCCCAAGAGCGCCCAAGAGCGACCCAATAGCGGCCCCAAGCCCGAGGAGGCAACTTTTCGGTTTCCGAATGGGGGGACCGTAATTGACGCCGCGCTCGTTTTTGAGCCGTGGTCCCAAAAGACCTCCCAAACACCCAAAGAGCCCCAAGAGGGCCCCAAGGCCCCCCAAATCAGCTCAACGGGGCCCCAAGAGGCACCATGGGGACCCCAAAAGGGCCCAGAGACCTCCAAAATATACCCAAGAAGGCCTTTGGATAGCCCCAAGATGCCTCCAAGAGGCCCTCAGAGACATATCCAGACAATGCATTGATGGTTGACTCGTCGTCGTCGTCGTACTCGTCGACGTCTTCGTCGTCGGCGTCGTCGCGGTCGTCGTCGTCGTCGTCGTCGTCGCCGTCGTCGCCGCCGCCGCCGCCGCCGCCGCCGCCGTCGTCGTCGTCGTCGTCGTCATCGTTGTCGTCGTCGTCGTCGTCGTCGTCGTCGTCGTCGTCGTCGTCGTCGTCGTCGTCGTCGTCGTCGTCGTTGTTGTTCGTGGTCATCGCCGTCGTCGCCGCTATCTCCGTCTCGTCTCCCGCCGCCTTCTCGTCCTCCTCCTCCTCCTCCGCCCCGTCCTCCTCCCACTCATCCCACAAGGCAGAGCTGAAAGGGAGCAGGTGGGATGTAGGAGGAACGGGAGGGTATATGCGAGGACAGGAGAAGGCACGCCCGAAAACAACGATCGTCAACATGCTTCGCAAAAAACAGCTGTTTTAAGATGGACTGGCGGGGATACGTTTTTGTTGGTTCACGGGCTCGCGAAGCGAGTCGAAAGCCAGGCAAAGGTAGGGTGGTGGGGACATTTTTTCCGCAGCCGCAAGCGAAGGCGCCGGCGGCGTCACAGGTCGGCCCGGGCTACGAACAGAACTAATTGCCTAGCGCGCGCGCAGGCAACAGCTAAACCTACCGCCGTGGGAAGCTGGGCTGCGCCGATGGCAGAGGCTGCTACCGCCGGGGGGAAGCGGGGCTGTGCCGAGGGCGGAGGCTGCACGAGCTGCCGGGGCGGCCAGGAGGCTGTGCAGGCGCGCGGGCACCCCATGGACGAGACCATCAGGATGAGTGAATTGGACCTTGTCGCATCCGGGCGCCAGAGGTCGGCGCGCCACAGAAGTGGCGAAGCGCGGGGCTGCATAAACGGTCCAACGCGCTTGGCTGCAGACCGACAGGGGGAACACGCATGGTCGATCAAAAAGGCTGGACCACTCCTGAGTGAACCAGCGGTCCAGAATCCCAACAGGCCAGCGGCAACGGCAGACACGGCCAAGCTGTGGCGGTGACTGGGGACCAGAAGCCAGGGAAGTGCAAGCACTCGTGCCGGAACTGGTCCGGACGCGCAAGGATGGTGGGGATATTTTTTTTCGTCGCGGCCGCAGGCGAGCGCGCCAGCAGCGTCAGAGGTCGGGCGGGCTACGCGCGAACTTAATTGCCTAGCGCACGGGGACCGACGGCCGAACCTAAGCTGCCTAAGCTGCCTGAGCTGCCGGGCTGCGCGAGGTGGTGACGGGAAGCGGGGCAGGGCCCGAAACCTTGCCGACGGGCGATGCAAACTGCAACCATGACCAGGATCCGGGGGCAGTGCCGATGCAAATTGAACCAAGGAGCTATACGCAGCCAAAATGGCGCGGCAAGGTCACAGACAGCGAAGCTGACAAGTGACCGCTAAGGGCGTGTATGACGTGAAGTAGGATAAACCACACGAGGGATCCATGCACACAGCCCCTGAGGGGGGCAGCTCGTTTCCAATGCACCCCAGGAGGTTATACTAGCACCGATGGCCAGGAATACGTCACGACCAGGAACCAGTACGAGTGGCGCCACCGAAGTCGCACACTCACTCCTGAGAGAAAGGGTCCGGGGTAATCCCCTCTCCGAGAATGAGAGGAAGAGCCAGCCAGGAAAACGATGGAAGGGATCGACACCGAAAACCTGAACGGATCGGCCACACGCCTGATGCTGCCAACCAGGAATACGATGGATAAGGTCGACATCGAACGCCTGTACGGAATGGCAGCACGCATAGAACTGCCAAGTGAACTGCCGATAGCAGGGCTAAGCACCTCACCCAGAACAGCTGCATTAGCGCGGCAAGCGCCAGAAGCGAACTGGGAACGTCCGGCTGGCGAGGGGGGCCCCGAAGGGAGTAAGGGCCATAACGAAGCGTGGCAGTGCCGTCTTTGCGCGGGGAGCGGAGCAGCTCGGTGCGGGGCAACTGCCGAAAGGCGCGGGGAGCGGAGTGCGCCGAGGCGCGGTGAAAACAACTGACAACTACAGCGAAGCGTGAATAATTTTACGACGAGACTCGCCTGAATGTTCTGAAAGTCGCAAATATGCGTGAATTGTCGCATTTTTGAGATCGCGCTCGATGTCTTGGAGCGGCACTGGATGGCCGTTACTACGGTCGCCTGCAAGGCGAAGTCTTCAAACTCCAGAGCCTCGTCCGCGTCTTCATGAAGATGGTCCTTCTGCGTAGAGCGTAAAGGTATCCATCTATAGCAGCTTAGAAGAGATGAGCTGAATCAGATTGATATGATATCTCATGTCTGGCAGCGATGCTACCCTCACGACAGCATCTTCTACTGCAGTGTAGGCGATCATCGGGTGGAAGGTCGTCGACACGGTCTGCATCGTGAAGCTGTGGAGCTTCGGCACGCGGAGGCTGCAGTTCTCTTCCTTCGTGGAATCCTGTGCTGTGGCGTCAGCCCCAGATGTCGCACAACCCCGACTGCTCCTCCTCCCCGCGCAGCACGGGGTCTCTGCTTGCCTCCGCCACTCCTCGGCGGCGCGCACAAGGGGGCGGGGGGGGGGGGCGGAGGGAAGGCTTCTGAGAAGGGGGTGCTTCTTAGAAGGTGCCCGCCTTGCATCTGTATGTAAGGCCCGCGCCTTCTAAGAGGCAAGCGCGCGCCGCGAGCGCGGGGCGCGCGCGAATCCAACAACATGCGCCTGCTGTGGCGCGGCAGCGCCAGGGCGCGCCGCGACCTGCCATGCCCGTTTCTGAGAAGCCTTCCCCCTCCCCCTGCTCCCCTCTGCTTACTAGCCTGGAGCATATCCCTATCCCTATGCTGGGCATCTCCTCATCACGATGCCAACCTTGGGGATTCCCATAGTTTTTCAGGGCGAATCCCCAAGATCGTCATCGCCCTTTGGCGTGCCAATGTTTGGGATGGGGATAAAATTTCGAGGCTGGTGGTCTGCGCGTGGCCGAGCTCCTCGTGGAACCCCCGCCGCCGCGCCTCGTGGAGGCGCCCCCTCCGCCGCCCGCGCAGGCCCGAGCGCGCAGGGGCTCGCGGCGGCCTCGCCGAGGGCCCGCGGGCGGGCGAGGCCGGCCGCGCGGGGCGAGATCTCGAGCCCCTGCTCCGCCCGGCCGCTGGCCCAGAGCCCAGGCCAGGGGCGGCCCAGGAGCTCCGCGCGCGCGCCGCCCGCGGCCGCGTGCCCCGCGGCGCCGGCGCCGAGGAGCGAGGCCGCGGCGCCGCCCGGGGCGGGCCCGCCGCCGCGCCGGGCGCCTCGGGCCGCCCGCGGCGCGGGGGCCCGCGCGGCGCCGCCGCCGCGCCCCCAGAGCTCGGCCCAGCTCTCCTCCAGCAGCTGCCCCTCGCGTGCCCGCGGCCGGGGGAAGGCGCCGGGCAGGCCGGCGCCGCGCCCGGGGCGGGCGCCGCTGGGCTTAAGTCGGGCCTGTCCCCCTACAGGAGGATTTTCGACGAAAATGAAGACACCCCAAAAATGCCCCAAAAAGGTAAAAAAATACTCGAAGCATAATCCCCAGACTATTTTTGGTGTGTTGGCTTATTTTGGGGGTATTAGTTGGTTTTTTTCGCCGAAAATCCCCCTGTAAAGGGGGGCGGGCCCGACTGAACGCTGGGCTCGCGGGCGCCGCTGGGCTCGCGGGCGGGCCGGAGGGGGGCTCCTGCAGGCCGGCGCCAGGTCCGCCCGGAGCCCCGGCGCCCGCGGAGGCTGCGCCTGCCGGCTCCGCGGCCGGGGCGCACCCGGCCGCGCCCGGCGCGGCGCTCCCCGCGGGGCACCGGCCGAGCGCCTCCAGCAGCCGCTGCCGGGACTCCGCGAGGGCCCCCTCCACGACGCCCCGGAGCTCGCGCAGCTGCTCGGCCTGGGCCTCGCGCAGCTGCTCGGCCAGCGCCCGCCGCAGCTGCTCCGGAGGGGCCTGGCGGTCGGCGGCCGCCCACTCCAGGCCGGGCGGCTCCGGGCGCCGCGCGGCCGTGCCGCCGCCGGCCCTCTGGCCTGCGCCGGGCGTCGCCGGGTCGCCCGGCTCCACCCCGAGCTGGGCCCGGATCTCCCCCAGGCAGCGCTGCATCTCCTCCTGCCGCGTCGCGAGCTGCCGCTGGTGCTTCTGCAGCCAGGCCAGGGGGCCCACTCTCACGCTCAGCAGCTCCAGCCTCACGTCTGCGGAGAGGGCCTTCCACACGAAGTCGCAGAACTCGCTGTGGCCGAGGGTCCCAGACCCGTCGGAGTCCATGGCGCTGAACATCTCGCAGAGGTCCTCTACCTCGATGTCCAAGGCGATCAGCAGATCCCGAAACTCTTCACTGTTAGTGTGCGCATACGTCAGCTCGTCCCACGTGATGTGGCCGTCGTGATCGCTGTCGATCTGGCTCATCAAGCGGCGGAGCGACTGCGCCGTATTCACCTTCTCGTCCATGGCCTTTCTGGCCCTCTGCTTTCGATCGACCTCCATCGATTCGACAGCCTCTCGCACGATGACGGCGAGCACAAGGTTCAGGATCCCCAGCTGCACCACGAAAACGCAGCAGAGAAAAAGTCCGCCGACCCGGCGTGTGAACTACGCAAGAGCCTCGGCAAGAGCGTCAGCCGTGAGCCTAGGCAAGAGCTTCAACACTGCTTGGGGGGGGTCGCCGGGGTGGCTCTGCCGGGGAAGGGGAGGAGGGGGGGGCGGTCCTCCCTCTGGCGTTTCCTAAATCGTCCCCAAGATGTTTCGGGGGGTATACCAGGGACCCCCCCCAGGACTCTCCCCTCGGAACCCTCCCCGGACCCCCCCCCCTCCGGGAAGGGGGGGAGGGGGAGGGGCGGGCGGTCCCCCACCTCGGCGCTTTCTTGATGAATTGCGCATTCCCAGAATGTTTCGGGGGGTCCCGAGGACCCCCTCAGATCTAGTCACTACCGTTCCCAGGACCCTCCCCTCAGAACCCTCCCCGGACCCCCCCCGGGACCGCTTCAGGCCCCCCCCCCAGAGGGCACGTCAGCTCCAAGAAGCGTCCCCGACGACTCCAAGATCACCGAATCCGGAGCCCCCGGATCGGCGGCACTGGCCAGAGGCCATTAAAATAACTGCCATGCCCAACCTTGGTCGATGAAAGGCACGACGCATTCCCAGCCGTCTCCGAGGACAGACACCCTGAAAAAGAATACCATGGCATCAAATACAGACTCAAAAATCTGGCTGCAGTATCCGTCCTCGGCTGGATTGACTGAGCCAGCAAACTGTATCGACAAGACTGCAAATATGAGCAATACTATGGTAATCAAAACGACGCCCCAAACGGTGGCAACAATGCAGCCCCTAAGGCCCCGCACAATCACCAAACGGGTGGGCAGTAACGCTAGCACGCGCGCTGTGCGCGCAATCCTCAGAAACGCGAGCATTTGCAACGCCCGCATATTTGATACGCCGTAGATGGCCAACACCTCGAGCATTCCTGTGATCACGATGGTCGTGTCGAGGATATTCCAGCAGCTCAAGAGGAACTGGGCGCGGTCCACGTAAACTCGCGCGAGCAGCTCGATCGTGTAGAACACCAAGAACGACAGGCTCACAGCCGGGGGGAACGGCGAAGGGCGGCCGGCGGCGCTGGCATCCGCGTCCAGCACGATCACGGCCACGTTGCCAAACACAGCGGTGACCAGGACGAAGAGGAACAACCGGCTGCGAAGGAACGCCGCGATCTTCTGCCGGGCCTGGCTCATCTGCTCAAGATCGCCGGTCTGTCCCCGCGTCCACGCGAAGAGGTTCACCTCCGAGGCCCCCGACCTTGAGGGGCAACGATCGGGGGGGACTGGCATAGGGGGGGACACATCGACCTGGAATCGGCGATACATCGCCGTTAGATCGGCGATACAGTCGGGGCGTTGACCTAAGGAACCCTAAATAAGGAACGAGGCCCCTTTTTTCCATAAGTTAAATTTCGATTTCCCATCGAAAACATGAGGAACCCCTGAGGCAAGCTGTGAAACAATTAAGGAACACCGAGCCCCTCCCCAACGAAAAGGGTTCCTTCTTCAGCGCCCCGACTGTAGGGCCCCGACAGTGAATCCGCACGTTCCCGGGCAGGCGATCGATGGGCCATTGAGGAGGAGGAAGAGGAGGAGGAGGAGGAGGAGGAGGAGGAGGAGGAGGAGGAGGAGGAGGAGGAGGAGGAGGAGGAGGAGGAGGATAGGGCCCCGACAGTGAGTCCGCACGTTCCCGGGCAGGCCGGGGCTGTCGGGCCCCCTTCGGCGATCGATGGGCCATTGGGGATCGGTGCGTCCCCCCCTGGGCCCTCTGCTTTAAGCGGGCGCGCCCCCCTACCCTACAGGGGTTTTTTGGGCGAGAGATAAAACATACGCAAAAAAATGCCCCCCCCAATGGGCAAAAACAGTCAAAGAATCGTCCCCGGAATATTGCTTGGCTGTTTCTGCACATCCCTCCTGCAGAGGGCGAAAAAAAACAACTCAAAAAATACCCCCCCCTGGGCCAAAATAGTCAAAGAATCGTCCCCGGAATATTGCTTGGCTGTTTCTGCACATCCCTCCTGTAGAGGGCGAAAAATAAGAAATACTCAAGAAATGCCCCCCCCAATGGGCAAAAATAGTCAAAGAATCGTCCCCGGAGTATTGCTTGGCTGTTTCTGCACATCCCTCCTGTAGAGGGCGAAAAATAAAAAATACTCAAGAAATGCCCCCCCAGTGGGCAAAAATAGTCAAAGAATCGTCCCCGGAGTATTTCTGGGCTATTGTTGAACATCCCTCCTGTGGAGGGCGAAAAATAAAAAATACTCAAAAAATGCCCCCCCGTGGGCAAAAATAGCCAAAGAATCGTCCCCGGAATATTGGTTGCCTGTTTCTGCACATCCCTCCTGTAGAGGGCGAAAAATAAAAAATACTCAAAAAATACCCCCCCCCCCCAATTGGCAAAAACAGCCAAAGAATCGTCACCGGAATATTTCTGGGCTATCTCTGCACACCCCTCCTGCAGAGGGCGACAAGTAAAAAATACCTCCTGAACATCCCTCCTGAAAATTGCTCCTGAAAATCTCTCCTGAAAATTGCTTAACTATTTTTGAACATCCCTCCTGCTGAGGGGCACGCCCGACTGCAGCCACCGCTCGGGCCACCGGCGGCCGCTCGGGAGGACCCATATGGGCCCCCCCCCCTGCACGGTTTCCCCCGGGGCCGTAGGCGACCCGAGGAGGAGGAGGAGGGGGGGAGGAGGAGGAGGAGGAGGAGGAGGAGGAGGAGGAGGAGGAGGAGGAGGAGGAGGAGGAGGAGGAGGAGGAGGAGGAGGAGGAAAGGAGGAGGAGGAGGGAGGAGGAGGAGGAGGAAGGAGGAGGAGGAGGAGGAGGAGGAGAGGAGGAGGAGGAGGAGGAGGAGGAGAGAGGAGAGAGGAGGAGGAGGAGGGGTCGCCTAAGCCCTTCGGAGAAACCCTCCACCCCCAGCACGCCCCCCCTGGCGGGGCGCCTATAGCCGCTGGAGAGAGAGCACCCCCGGGGCTGCCAAGCCGCCATGGGTCCGACGAGCACGCCCCGCACACGATGGAACCGACAACCTCGCCCCCCCCCCCCCCCCTCTCTGCCTAATCTCAAGTCGGGCGCGTCCCCCGTACAAGGGGGATTCCGGACGAACAAATAAAATTACGCTGCCGAGGAGCCCCACATACTTATATTATGGCTGGAGTGATGACAGCTGAAGAGAAGCATGTAAGAATGATGTTGGTGGCCGTTGCCACCCCCTGCGCACCCCCTATTTTGTCCAGAAAGTGCCACGCCTGCTATGCCCTGGACGACCGTCGTGCATAGCGGCCGCGGTGAGGGACCAACCCCTGCGCACCCCCTATGGTGTCGAGAAAGTGCCACACCTGCTATGCCCTGGACGACCGTCTCGAATAGCGGCCGCGCTCGGGGACCACCCCCTGCGCACCCCCTATGGTGTCGAGAAAGTGCCACGCCTACTATGCCCTGGACGACCGTCTCGGATAGCGGCCGCGCTCAGGGACCACCCCCTGCGCACCCCCTATGGAATCGAGAAAGTGCCACGCCTACTATGCCCTGGACGACCGTCTCGGATAGCGGCCGCGCTCAGGGACCACCCCCTGCGCACCCCCTATGGTGTCGAGAAAGTGCCACGCCTGCTATGCCCTGGACGACCGTCTCGGATAGCGGGACCACCCCGTGCGCACCCCCTACCCCCTGCGCACCCCCTGCGCATGGTGTCGAGAAACTGCCACGCCTGCTACGGCCTGGACGACCGGCGCGGATAGGGGACCACTGCGCACCCCCTATGGTGTCGAGAAAGTGCCACGCCTGCTCTGCCCTGGACGACCGGCGCGGATAGGGGGACCACCCCCTGCGCACCCCCTATGGTGTCGAGAAACTGCCACGCCTGCTACGGCCTGGACGACCGGCGCGGATAGGGGGACCACCCCCTGCGCACCCCCTATGGTGTCGAGAAACTGCCACGCCTGCTACGGCCTGGACGACCGGCGCGGATAGGGGGACCACCCCCTGCGCACCCCCTACGGTGTCGAGAAACTGCCACGCCTGCTACGGCCTGGACGACCGGCGCGGATAGGGGGACCACCCCGTGCGCACCCCCTATGGTGTCGAGAAACTGCCACGCCTGCTACGGCCTGGACGACCGGCGCGGATAGGGGGACCACCCCGTGCGCACCCCCTATGGTGTCGAGAAACTGCCACGCCTGCTACGGCCTGGACGACCGGCGCGGATAGGGGGACCACCCCGTGCGCACCCCCTATGGTGTCGAGAAACTGCCACGCCTGCTACGGCCTGGACGACCAGGCGCGGATAGGGGGACCACCCTGCGCACCCCTATGGTATCGAGAAAGTGCCACGCCTGCTATGGACGACCGGCGCGGATAGGGGGACACCCCGTGCGCACCCCCTATGGTATCGAGAAAGTGCCACGCCTGCTACGGCCTGGACGACCGGCGCGGATAGGGGGACCACCCCGTGCGCACCCACTATGGCGTCGAGAAACTGCCACGCCTGCTACGGCCTGGACGACCGGCGCGGATAGGGGGACCACCCCCTGCGCACCCCCTATGGTGTCGAGAAAGTGCCACGCCTGCTACGGCCTGGACGACCGAGCTGACTGTGCTGTGCTGAGCTGAGCTGAGCTGTGCTGAGCTGTGCTGAGCAGTGCTGTGCTGTGCTGTGCTGTACTGTGCTGTGCTGTGCTGTGCTGAGCTGTGCTGTGCTGTGCTGAGCTGAGCTGAGCTGTGCTGAGCTATGCTGAGCAGTGCTGTGCTGTGCTGTGCTGAGCTGAGCTGAGCTGAGCTGAGGTATGTGTCGCGGGTGCGGCGCGGCAGAGAAGAAAACCAGAACCCCACGAAGCATGTGGGGAACTACTCAGAAAATGCCCCCCCCCCCCAATGCCCCAAACCTCGCCCCCCCACCCCCCCCCTCTGCCTGATCTTGAGTCGGGCGTGTCCCCCATCCAAGGGGGATTCTGGGCGAAAAAATGAACCTACTCAGAAAATAAGTCCCCCCCCCCCCCAATGCCCCCCAAACTGTCAAAACCTCGTCCCCGGAGTAAGTTTTGACTATTTTGGAAGATCCCTCCTGTAGACGGACAGGCCCGACTGAAGCATGGAACCGAACACCTCGCCACCCCCTCAGGAGGCAACTGCTGGGAGGCTTTCGTCGGCAAGATCAGGGAGGATGCAGCCCCATTTGGGAGCTGCTGCGCCGGAGCGGGCCTCGGACCGAAGCAGGAGCAAGCGGGACTGAACCGGACTGAGCCGGATGAGGTCGGCCTTCGGACCAGGACAACATCAGGCTTCGACCTCCCCAGGAGTTGCATCCGAGCCCCCCCCCCCGCATGCTGGCCATGGCTCGGACGTCCATTCCCTGTGCTTTCTTCGGCTTCGTGCGTGGTTTTCTCTCCAAGTGATCGAGGGCGCTCCTCGAGGATCCTCGCCGAAGGAACAGTGCACACGCCCGAGCGATGCCAAGGGATCGGCCTGGGGCCCTGCGCTCCGCCGTGCCTCCCGGGAGCCCACGAGCGTCAGCGACGGGGGCGCAGCCCGCGGCCCCTCCCCCCCGAGGGGGCCGCGGAGTCTCGCCCGCAGCGGCGCGGGGCCCTGCGCTCCGCCGGGCCGAGGAGCCCACGGAAGCGGCGGCGGTTGCGCAGTGCGCGGCCCCGCGCGGCGGTTGCGCAGTGCGCGGCCCCGCGCAAGCATGCCCAGGCCCCCCCCTCAAGACCTGGCCGAGGCGCCGCGGACCACCGAGAGGCGCAGGCAGGAGGTGGGAGGCTGGCGGAGGAGGAGGAGGAGGAGGAGGAGGAGGAGGAGGAGGAGGAGGGAGGAGGAGGAGGAGGAGGAGGAGGAGCATGCCCAGGTCCACCCCCCCCAGACCTGGCCGAGGCGCCGCGGACCGCCGCCGGCGGGGCGCCCGGGGCGCGGGGCCCCGCGGCCGCGGCGCCGAGGCCGCCGTCGGGGCGCGGGGGCATCGCTGGCCACTGGGCTCACGTCGGGCCTGTCCCCCTACAGGGGGGGGGATCATCAGGGGCAACTCGGGTCAGGGCTAACTCGGGTTCGTTTTTCGGGAATCCGAACCCGACTTACCCCGGACCCGAGTTACCCCGGATAATTCGGGCGTCCAGAGCCCTGAATCATCAGGGGTAACTCGGGTCAGGGGTAACTCGGGTTCCTTTTTCGGGAATCCAAACACGAGTTCCCCCGGACCCGAGTTACCCCTACGGGGGGTCGGCTACACGTAAGAGTGACCCTTGGTGCGCAGCTTTTTGGGGGCCGCGGGGGGGGGGGGGGGGGGCAAAACACAAGCGCGCAAGACGCCACTGCCGCCTCGCGTTCGGCGATCGGGGACCCCGATTGGCCCGCACCACAGGTCACTCCAGCGAAGGGTCACGCTTATGTGTACTCGAGGGGGGGGTTGTAAGGCGAAGCATGAAAAGTCCCCCCAAAAAATCCCCCCCGAGGAATCAAACACAGTCAAAACAAAATCGTCCCTACGGAGGGGATTTGAAAGCGAAACATGAAAAATACCCTCCAAATTCCCCCCGAGTAATCAAAAGTAGTCAAAACAAAATCGTCCCCTGGGAGCATCGCTGGCCGCGGGGCTCAAGGCGGGCCTGTCCCTCCACAGGAGAAACACTCAAAAATACTCATAACCAAATAGTCGGGGGAGGATTGTCTGAGCCTTTGTTGGCCATTTGGGGTGCATGTTCTGACTATTTCAAATTTTTCGCCCAAAATCCCCTGTACACCCTGCGAAATGCTTAAGAAATCATGGGCTAAGAAATTCATAGTCTCAGAATTTGAGTAAGCAACCAGAATTTCGATTGACATCATAGGGTTCACATTGAAACATTAAGAATAATCGAGACTCTGGTCGAACACGTAAGTTTTCTTAAGCAACGCCTAGGGTGTAGGGGGACAGGCCCGACGTGGCCCTGGAGGGCTCGAGCCGCTCGGCCTCGACGTCTGCACGCCTAAGTAAAGCTCGGAGCCGGCGCGGCGCACTGCAGGGACCTGGCGGCGCTGGCGTGGTTCACCCCCTGTGGCGGAGCTGCTTCTTTCTCGGGTCTCTCGGGGTAGAACTCCAGGGCAGGAGAGCCCATAATCGAATCGATAAGTCGGATCGGCGATCGAAATGAATCGGATCGGCGAAAATTGGCAGCCGAGTCGGGAAAAGTCGTATCGGCGGAAATCGGCACGCTACTATGCGTTCCATAAGAAGTCGGAATCCGAATCGGAATCCCAAGTCGAATCGAATCGGAATCGGAAGCCATCGAAATCGAATCGAATCGAATCGGAGGAGTCGAAATGAGCCCTGCCAGGGTTCGCCAGAACTGGCCAAGAATCTCAACTTGTTAAGAAACGAGTCTACATTCACTATGGTTCTTGTTCCTGGGCCAGTCTGGGGGTTGAGATTCTGAGGTGGCCCTATTTGGCCGCAGAAGGCTCAACGCAATACAGTACGTAGCACCCCGCAGATGCGAATAAGAGTGAGGGGGCGGTGGGGACGTCTGCAGTCTGCGAGACTCTGGAGAAGCCCGCCGCAGGCGTCAAAGTTTCATAAATTATACAGCGAGCCCGCCGCAGGCGCCGAGTTTTTCTTCAAACCATTGAATATCGGTCGCGGGTGGGTCGCGGGGTGGGTCGCGGGTGGGTCGCAAGTGGGTCATGGGTGGGTCGCGGGGTTGCTCGCGGGTGCGTCGCGGGGTGGGTCGCGGGGTGGGTCGCGGGTTGGGTCGCGAGTGGGTCGCGGGGTGGGTCGCGGGTGGGTCGCGGGTTGGGTCGCGGGTGGGTCGCGGGGTGGGTCGCGGGGTGGGTCGCAGGGTGGGTCGCGGGATGTCGCGGGTGGGTCGCGGGGGGGACGACGACAACAAGCAATAACAACAGCAACAACAACAACGCAACAAGCATAATCCTCACCACGGATTCTCACTGAATCCACGCACCCAGGAATATAGAATGATCGTTCGGCCCCCTCACTCTGATTATTAGTGGGCGTGCTGGGTCGTGCTGCTTGGGTATGGGTGGTTCATTTGGAATTAGGGACGGCGCGATCCATCAAACATTCGTAGCCAGGCTGGCGGCGAGAAAGGATCTCCTGAATCAGTTCATGGGGGATAGCCGACGGGAGCGCGCCATGTCAAAGGGGCGCCGAAAACCAGAGGGGCACCGAAAATCACAACGGCGACGACAACGAAAAGGGCAACGACAACCCGAAAACGAAAAGGGCACCGAAAACCACAAGGGCGCCGAAAACCACAAGGGCACCGAAAACCATAGGGGCGTCGAACACCAACAGGGCGCCGAAAACATAAAAGGGCACAGAAAACCTCAAGGGCGCCGAACACAAAAACCGCGCCGAAAATCACAATGGCGCTGAAAACCTGAAGGGCGCCGAAAACCAAAACGGTGCCGAAAACCAAAAGGGCGCAGAAAACCTAGAGGGCGCTCGAAACAAAAAGGGCGCCACGAAACGAAAGGCGCGCCGAAAACCCAAATAGCCCCGAAAACCTCAAGGGCGCCGAAAACCAAAAGGGCGACGAACACAAAAATGGCGCCGCACATCAAGAGGGCGCGAAAAACAAAAGCGGCGCCGAAAACCAAAATTGAGCCGAAAACCGAAAGGGCACCGAAAATCTAAATGTCGCCGAGGTCCCAAAGGGCAACGAACACCAACAAGGCGCCGAAAACCACAATGTCGCCGAAAATTATAAAAATCGAACGAACGCCGAAATTCTTAGGGCGCCGATCACCTAAAAATAGCCGGACACCAAAGAGACGCAGAAAAACCCAAAGGGCGCCGAACACTGAAAGTGCACAGAACACCGACGCGCCGAAAACAAAAAGGCGCCGAAAACCACAAAGGCGCCGAAAACCTCAAGGGCGCCAAACCAGAGGGGCGCTGATATTCTAAAGGGCCCTGAAAACCGAAAAGACACCGAAAACCTGAAGGGCGCCGAAAACCTGAAGGGCGCGGAAAACCTCAAGGGCGCCGACCACCTAAAGGGTGCCGAGAAACAAGAGGGCGCCGAAAACCAAAGGTGCGCCGAAAACAAAATGGCTCCGAAAACCTACAAGGCACCGAAAACTAAAAAGGGCGCCGAACACAAAAGGGGCGCCGAAAACCTTCAGGGCGCCGAAAACCAAACGGGCGCCGAAAAGAAAAGGGGTACCGAAAACCTAAAGGGCGCCGAAAACCCAAAGGGCGCCGAAAACCAACACGGCACTGACAACCAACGTGGCGCGACGAACACCAAAAGGGCGCCGAAAACCAAAGGGACGCCAAAAACATAACCCCATGCCCCCGATAATAAACCCTAAGGGATAATAAAGTTCGGGGTTTTCGGGGGGATAATGAAAGTTGCCCGCCAGAGCCAGCATAAAGAAATATCAAAAGGAAAAAGCCAAAGATATCTTGAGGATCCTTGGTCCTTGGTCCTCTATGAGACATCCTCAACAATGATTTGTCTCGGTTGAGACATCCTCAACGAATTGCTTGTTTCGCTTGAGACATCCTCCTCATCAAAAAGAGAAGAAGAGGAAGAATAAGTAGAGGAGGATGAAGAGGAAGAGGATGAGGAGGAGAAAGAGCAAGAGGAGGAGAGAAGAACGAGGAAGCACACATCCAAAGTTCAAAACTTAGTAGATTTAATTTGTAAACGCTAAATGAAAATAAAACAAAATCATCTGCTCGTGTAGGGGTAGCTCATGCGCTTAGTTTTCCCCGGATAATCAACCCCAGCGATAAACAAGTTCAGGGGGCCAGGGAGACAAGAAGACAAATCAATAGAATGAGAACTACAAAGAAAGAAGAAAGGGAAGAGGAGAAGGATGAAAAGGAGGAAGAGCAGGAGAAGCAGAGCAGGAGGTAGAAGCAAAAATCCAAAGTTGTAAACGTATTAGATTTAATTTGTAAGCGCTTAATGAAAATTAACATGTTCATCTGCTCGTGTACGGTAGCTCATGTGCTTAGTTTTCCCAGGATAATCATACCCAACGATAAACAAGTTCAGGGCGCCAGAGGGAGGAGGATAAAGAAAGACAAAGAGAGAGAGAGAGAGAGAGAGAGAGAGAGAGAAAGAGAGAAACATAAAGCAACACAAAGAAAAATAGAGAAAGAGCACACGTGTTCGCGTCGCTTGATGTTGTTATCTCAACACAAGAAGGAAGTAACCTCGATGGCGAACTTTCCCAGTGATAATGAAGTTCGGCCTCCGCGCCCCCGCGCCCCCGACCAAACTCTTATTGGTCGACGATAAAAAACTCTAACGACTTTAGGGGGGGTACATTATTATCGTGGGCATGGGGTTAAAAGGCACAGAAAACCTCAAGGGCGCCGTACACCAAAAGAGCGTCGAAAACATCAAGGGCGCCGAAAACAAAAAGGGCGACCAAAACTTAAAGCGCGCCGAATGCCAACAGGGCGCCGAAAACCAAAATGGTGCCGAAAACCAAGACGGCGCCGGAAACCAAAAGGGCCCCGAAAACCCAAAAAGGCGCGAAAACCAAAAGGGTGCTGAAAGCCTAGAGGGCGCGGTCGAAATCGAGAAAAACGATGGAAACAAAGAGGGCGCCAAAAACTAAAGGGACGCCGAAGACCTGAGGGCGCCGGAAACGGAAGGGGCGCCGAAAGCGTAAAGGACGTCGAAAACTTATAGTGCGCGTGCAACCAACATGGCGCCAAAACCAAAGAGGCGCCGAAAACTGGAAGCGCGAGGAAAACCTGAAGGACGCCCAAAACCAAAAGGGCGTCGAAAACGAAAAAGGCGTCGAAAACCAAACGAGTCCTGGACCTCGGCTCTGACCACCAAGCTGCATTCATCGAGTTGTCCCTCAGGGTAAGAACGAAGAGGGAGAACAACCAAAAAAAGGCAACGCCGTCGCATTCTAGCTGGGCCCTCAGCTGACGATCGGCAGTATCGACGGCGTCTTGATATCTGGGAAAGCGCGTTTCACGGGCGTTTGCCTTGGG